TTAGTCTCAATGTAAATATTTGCCCAAGTCCTCGTCCTTCCTCCTTCACATGCTTGGCTGTAGGTAGCATACTGAAATTGTATAGTTATTGTTATTGTATTGATAACTTTCAAAATCGGAAGAGCCCAAAAGTTTGTGGGTTTTAAAATTAATTAAACAAAAGCAAAAACATTTTAAACAACTTTTAATGGATTCTTTGAGAATTTTACTCAGTGTATTTTGATCGCATTCATCCCCAGCTCCTCCCATATCTAACTATACTTCTCTTCTGAACTGGGATAGATTTTGTCTAAAATAAAGGTTTACAGGTTCTGTTTATGGGAGGGCTCCAGTAATCCAAGAACTTACAGGGCTGATAATTTTTAGAACTCAATTTTGTAGGCCTCTATCTCTGGGTTCAGAGACTAGCCCCACACTCCAGCACTAACTTGCTCTCTCACATACTCTGCTTTCCACGGAGCGGCAAAGACTCAGCTAGGTTTCTAGCCCCAGCTGAAGATTCAGAGCTTTTTCTCTAGACCATGATGCTTAGCTGAGTTCTCAAACCCAGTGGCCTCCTGGTCCACTTTGCCCCCATTGGGTTGACACTTTGCTCTGCACATCAATGAATTCATTCCTGGATGTCAATGATCACTTGTCCATTTAGTGCAAAACAAATGGGCTGATGTTGCTGAGAAATCCTGAGATGACACCAACAATCAATCAAGTGCTCCATGGGTCCACCTAGCCCTGGAAGGCAGCCGATCCATTACGGCTGATTAAGACCACGAATGACAAGGAGCCAAGGCCTTGTCTGTTTGCAGCTCCTGAGATAAGGTAGAGGTTAACCCCCGACTTTGCCTAAGGACATGGTTGCTTTTGGCTATCACCCTCCTGCTCTCAGTCACTTATTCCTTATCAGTGTGTTAGCTCATGATCAGTGTATGTAGCTCACTCTACAGTGCCTCCCCAGGTCTCCTCAGAAACCCTCCTTTGCTTGCCAAAGTCCTCCTAGTTTTTAAAGCCCAACCTCCTTCCATATCAGTCACCCTGCTAGCCACAAGATGCATTGAAGAAGAGGAGGAATTGTAGTTATGGCTCTGTTGTGTGGCTTTTCTTATTCAGATAGAACATTAAAGCAGCAACAACAAAAAGGTCACAGCCTAGTTTTGTAGACCAATTAGTTTGTTGGACTAGCTTACAGGAACATGGATGCCTTAAAGGCAGCCATATCAAGATAAGCCCACAGTAGCATGGGTATGACTCACAAAAACTTCATTTCTAGAGTTCCTTGGACAGGTCAGACATTAAAGTCTCTTGTCCCCATTGATTGTCACTGCCTACAGAACCTCAAGGTAACTAAGTACTTGTGAACCTTAAGATTCAGCTTTCTAAGACCTGTAATTTCTGTTTACTTCCTGAGCCTTAGGAACTTTCTTCTTCTTCCCGAGGGAAATGTTTCAATTTGGCAGATATAACTACAAAATAATTTCGTAAGAACTTTCTTTTTTCATGATGCTTAGAGTATTTATTGAAATACTTGGAAATCTAGTCTAGAAGTCAGCAAAGTTTCACCAAAGGGCCTGGTAGCAAATATTTTAGTATTTGAATTGTAGAAGGTTTCATAGTAGTTACTCAGCTCTGCTACTGTAGAAGTAAAGCAGAATGAGCACCAGGTGAACAGAATTGGGTGTGGCCATGTCTAATATGACTTTATTGACTGAAACAGATGGTAGACTGGATTGAATTCATTTTCATGGGCTATAGTGCACAATGCCCAATGTAGACCATTATTATAAATGTATTCATTCAATAAATAATTTACAAGCATCTCTACATGCCATACATTGCATGTGGGACATGACATGGAGTAGTGGAAATCTTTCTTTGTTTTCTTCCTTTTTTGGGGGGGGTTTATTTTCAAGACAGGGTTTTCTGGTTTTGGAGGCTCTCCTGGAACTTGCTCTGTAGACCAGGCTGGCCTCGAACTTACAGAGATCTGCCTATCTCTACCTTCCAAGTTCTGGGATTAAAGGCGTGTGCTACCAATGGCCGGCATGAATTCTTGTATTCATATGCCATCTGGTTTATTCGGAAAAATCAGACAACCAACTTTGCATGTGGTTTTAAGTATAATTATTTTTATTATAGGTGCTCTGAAGGATAAAGGCAAGGTATGATTGATGTGAACCATGGAGATGGTGAAGAGGTAGGGTGGGAAAGAGATGGGCCATCAAGCAGAAGGAGCAGCAAGGGGCCCATCCTGAGTGAGAGGAACTTGGTAAATCAAGAGCTTGCTGCCATTCAGGGAAGGGGAGTGAGGCAGGCATCAGGTCCCTTTTGGTATTTCTAAGTATTTTATTTCTTTCCCCAGAAGCAAAGGGAAGTGTCCACAGTGTTTTAAAGCAGGAGAGAGCAACACAAGGAGATTTAGGATTCAGAAAATTTATCTGCCTACAGTTTGGGGAATAGATGGTGGGCAACAATAAATCAAGGAAGACTGAACAGATAGTTCCAACAGTATTTTATCAACTTTGCCACAACACAGACTCTCGGCCTGCATTTCCTTTGTTCCATCCTCACCCACAACGTCAGGTACTTGATTAAATGCCCATGCCTGAGGTCACCACATAGAGGCCAAAGCTACCCACTCACAGTGAACACCTCTTGATGGTGATAGTTTCTTAATAGTCCTCAAGGGGCTGGGGAGATAGCTCATCATTAAAACAAATGCTTTGCAATCATGAGGACCTGAGTTTGGATCTTTAGCACTGACTGTGTCTATGTGTTCATTCCAATAATTCCAGTGCTATGGAAGTGGACTCAAGCAGTTCCTTGGGTGTAAATGTATCTTAATTAGTAAGCTAATAGCTCAATGTGAGACTGTGTTAAAGATCAGCTGCAGAGTGATTGAGAAAGAAACCTAATGCCAGCCTCTTGCTTCCACATGCATGGATGTACCAATGCTTATGTACACACACATGTGAACACACATGTATGCACACACACACATGCACACATACACACAGAAAGAGAGAGAGGAGAGAGAGAGATTGAGAGAGCTGGAGTTCAATGTTCCAGTGGTCTAGAGAGCTACTTTGAAGGTCAAACTGAATGGAGCTTGGTAATTGTAAGGGGCACATTCTTTTGGAAACACAATTCTCCTACTTCTATGCGACTCTACATTTCAAGGCCACTTGGACCTTCTGAAGCTTTGTTTACAGCCAATTCGAGCCATGATCACTTTGCTGATACATCTTGAAGATGATATGACTGTAATGCTGCCGAGTGTCTGCATATTCTTAGGCATTTGCTACTTCCCCTTGGAATGCACTGATATGTAGATCATTAAGCAGAACAGACCTTCCTGCTTAAAGGAGCAATAATTTCAGTTTTCAAATGTCATTTTCAGTTGGTATTTGGCAGGAATGCTGCAGTCACACTCTCCTGTTTCTATTAACTACAAGGGCTGGGACAAAGTCATCTACCTCTTCACTGACATACCTTCATTTCAGACTGCAATGTGGCCATTTAGGCAATAAAAAGAAATGCAGAGCTGGCTGCTGATGTGGTCTCCGGAGATGGCACCTCTTGGTATTCATACCCTTGAAGAGTCTCCTTCCATGTTATACTAGACTTGATAAATGTGGCCAATGAAATGACTCTGGCTTTCAATGTAAAGTTATAAAAGACTCAGATTCTTTCATCTTGGCCACAGGGTCTGATGTTGGATCTTTCAGTCAGGGAGAAACTGGTTTCTATATTTTGAGAATCCTACTATGGCAAGGAATTGGAACCTCTGGCCAATGGTGGTATGAATGAACTTGAACACAGATTCTGGACTCATTCAAACCTTCATATGATTATAGTGATAGTAGTAGTAGTAGACAGGAAATTGCTTGAGAAACCACAGGCTGAGGTCAGATAATAAGGTACATCGGGAGTCTGACCCGTGGAGAACATGAGATAATCAATGTTTCTTGGCCATCCAATAATAAGAGATGAAAAGATTGGACCACTACCGTTAATCTTGTGTAAATGTTTACAAGATTGACAAGAAAAACCCTGTTGTCAGGATGCTAGAGACAGAAGTAGAAACTAACTGGGGCTTAGAAGTCTGTGTTGTGGCCACCAACAAGTTTTATGGCACAGGGCAAGTGGATCTTGTTTTCTGGACCTTATTTTCTCTTGATATTGAAGCAAGAAGTTGGTTATTGTCTTAGTTAGGGTTTCTGTTGCTGTGAAGAGACACCATGACCATGGCAACTTTTACAAAGGAAAAACAATTAATTGAAGTGGCATCTTACAGTTTAGAAGTTTAGCCCATTATTTTACTGATTTTATCACCATGGCAGCATGCAGGCAGACATGGTGATGGCTACATCTTGATCAGAAGTCAACAGGAAGCCATCTGTCTCACTGGGCATGGCTTGAGCACATATGAGACTTCAAAGCCCACCTCCACAGTGACATACTTCCTCCAACAAGGTCTACTCTAACATGGCCACACCTTCTAACAGTGCCATTCCCTTGGGTGGCCATTTTCTTTGAAACAGTCACATTCCATCACTCCCTGACTCCCTAAAGCAATGTATCATGGCAGAAGCTCAGAGTGAAGGAAGCTGCTCATTTCAAAGTGCAGCCTTACTTTTTGTATGTGAGTGCAAGTGGAGCAGTACCTCTGTGAACATGCATGTGTTGTTTCAAGGTCTAAGGACAACCCCAGGCGCTGTTGCTCTGGGCCATCTACTTTTGCTTTAAAACTGGATCTCTCACTGGTTTCAATTAAGAAATTAAGCTAACTGCCACCATAGCCAGCTTTCATATGGGGATCAAATACAAATTCTTATGTTTGCTCACCAAGCACTTTACCTGCTGAGGTATTTTCCTGGCCCTACCAACTTACTTTTATCACAAAGCCATTGTTCTAGAATCATTAAACTATGAATTATAAATGGATTTATGAGGTCAGAGTACTACTGATCTAATTACCTCTAAAATTTTCTTACCTTTGAATACAGGTACTTCGGGGACCAAACTTTCAACTCATGGGCTTTTGGAGACATTCAAGACTCAAGCCATTAACAAAGATCCAAGCTCTGTCTGGATAGAAGACACTATAATTAATAACCCCACAAGAGGCAATGTCAGATATATAAAGTATGGTTCTGAAAGAAGAGTTGGACACTGAGCAAGAGGAAGAAGTGATGCTGGGCCAATAAGAGCATTGTTCATAAGTCTACAGATAAATTTCTACCTTTTGTCCTGGGAAATACACTTGTTCAAAAACTTCTGTGTGCGTATAGGCCTCAGTACAGAACTGAGGAAGTTCATGCAAATTCCTCACTCTGTCATCAGTCCCCAAGCAACCAAATTGCTGAGATGAGGAGGGGCTAGAGCTAATGTGTTGAGTGAACAAATGATGTGCTTCCTGGAGCTAATTATTTCTGAAGCTTGGTGTTGAGTTCATTGCTGAGATTTAGATTCGTTAACCTTATCTTAGCCTGGGGAACTTTCTCCACAGTAATCCAGATTTTAAATGAGTTTACCTCCAGGCGAGTCACATTAGCACACATCCTTCCTGTTATGGTGGCCTCACCCCAAGGAGCTAATACAACTTAATAGCATGGTTTAGAAAAGGTGGAAGATATCCTAAGGATGGGACCAACCTTTACTTTATGAGCATTTCAATAAAGGTATGGAGGAATCCATTGAGGGGTCTGACAGTGGGGTCTGGATAACAAACCCTCTCCTCACCAGGGGTACAATTCCCTCTGGGCAGTGTCTGCTCCTAATTTCTGGAAAGCATATCATTTAGCTTGCCTGTCTGTGTGTCTCTATTTCCACCTTATATGAGTCTCTGGGATATCTTACCATTTATTTCTCCAAAGTTTTGACCTCATTTAGGCTGCTTTTTAAGATCATAAATTTTGGAACTTTTCCAAAAATGAGACTTTGTCTTAAAATGATCAACAGTTTTGACAAGTCAAATATCTTCTTTTCCTTTGCTTCCAGGGGGAGAGGGAAGTGGAGTCACACTTAGCTTTCTGTGAAATTTAAAATTTCAAGATCTTGACTCCATCTTTGCAGCTATGTGTGCACGGACTGAGCAAAGTGGAATACCAGAGAGTTAGAGAATAATCCAAGGGTTTACCTGACCCTTGTTCATCATCCAAAACTTAGTGCCTGCTCTGCACTCTCCCAACCCACACTACCTCAGAGTCCTGGGAAATAGACTTCTTGGGGCACAGAACAAATAAATAATTAAAATAGTAGGGTACAAAAGGATGAGTGGTCTTCTCTATCCAGTTGGCCTAAGCGGATTGGTGGGCATCAGAAGCTTTTCCCATTCCCTGGTATAGTGGTAGGTAGCCGTTAAATGTAGTGCATATGGTCTCAACCTTCTGGCATTCATGCCTCCATGTCATTCCCTACCTTGGGTTGTCTCCTCGGTTTTAAATGAGAGCACTGGAGACAATAAGGGTGAGGAAGGACAGGAGCTGGGTTTAATCATGGCTGTAGGTCAAAGTGCTGTTCTTGCTAAGACTTCCCCATAAAGATCCTGCCTTGCTAGCCACTCTTTCCAGCACTTTCTTCACTTCGTGCTGTGAGTCATGATTGGCAACCATATGTGCTTCTCCTTTCAGATGGCACTGGAAGATCCAGGGTTTTACAGCGGCATCTCCTCCAGAACAAAATGAAGCTGGTAGGTCAGCCCTTGCCATGTGCTCAGTGCTGGGGCGACTCCAGCTTTCAGATAAGAAACTGAGGTCCACACAGTTGCTTGTCCTGGAGTGCCACTTCTGACTAGAAGACTCAGAATTTAAGCAGCTCGAGGGCCATCATACTGTGTAGCTTATTCTTCCTGGACATCCTAGTCCAAATGTTCTCAGTTGGACAAGACTCGAGAGGGCATTTTTAGATAGAAATTCTCACCATTCACCACATTCCCTTGATGTAAATGAAGATTTGATATGTGTCCAACATCTTGTCCAGGTAAGGACTCAGAGTCTCATTGTTAAGAGAGTTCTTTTGAGGGAACAAGCCTTAATAAAGACCTTCATTTCCCCAAGGACCATTATCAGAAGCACTCTAGGCTGGCATCCCATAAACAGAAACAAAATAAAGACTGCCATAAATACCATATTCTTGCAAACCAACCTGGACCCAATTAAGATGACCAGGCATGTAAAAACATGGAATCCTTATATTTGCACACCTCACTGTGTGCTGGGGAGTTGCCATATTTTCCGTCTCAGGGTGTGTGGAGGGTAGAGGACAGACAGTAAGTTCTATCCTCTAGTTAAGGACAGCCAGCAGAAGCACACAGCAGCAATTTCACATAACACAGTCAGAAATATTCAAGCTAGAGCTGTGAGGTTAAGTACATAGAGACTGAATCCAGTCCCAGACTTCTTTCCTTTCTTGTTTACTCATCTGGTAATTGGGATACTGTCTACAATGATGCTGCAAATGGGAACCCAAGAGAGTTTGGTTTATGTACCTGTTTACTCAGGAGCTTGGGTTGTTTCTGTATTACATTCTGCAGTGTATTTGCATGGGGCTAAATCCTGCCTGTGGTTACCTATGCTAGAGTGGCGAGGATGTACTTGTGGACATCATGTTAATAGTAGGTGCTGTTTTCTCACTGATTCTCCTGTATTGGTTTCTGAAATGTGCCTCATTGTTTGTAGTCCCCGTTTTATTTATCTTCATGTTGATATAACAATATCTGGAGCAATCAACTTAACTGGAGAAGAGATTTCTGTTGCCTCAAGATTTTAGAGTTTTTAGTCCATGATTGCCTGGCCCTCTTTCTACAGTTAGTGTGAGTGGAGGAAGCCTGTGAACCTCCTGGCGGCCAGGCACTCAATATCCCTTTCCTAGCATGTCTCCAATGAACTAACTTCCACTAGCCAGACCATGCCTCCTCCTCCACATTCCATCATCTCCCAGCACTGGCATGATCTGGGCCAAGTTTTCTAACACATGAACCTTTGGTGGATGATTATCTAGAGTGAGGGTGAGTGTGCTTGGCTCAAGAAACACAAGATAACGTACAGAGTCAAAACTGGGGCTGAATGTAGTGAAACATGCTCCAAAATGAAGATGGGAGGAGGTACTGTAAGGTCCAGGCCAGTCTGAGATAACCCATCAATGCTTGTTAGTTTTATCTATGGACTTACCACAATAGCATAGCATGGGAAGTGTCTAAACTAAGGAACTGCCTGGATCAGGTTGGCCTGTGGACATGTCTGTGGGGTACTGTCTGTTTTTCTTAGTTATTCATCTTTTACACTTACAGTATTGTTTTAAAAATGCTTCTAATCTTTCCTACATTTTATGCAATATATATTGATCACATCCTTTCAATACTACTTCCCTCCAACTCCCCCCTAGTGTTTCTCACTCTGTTTTCCTCACAACTTAGTATCTGCAACCTCCCACCATTCAAGGTTCAGAGAAATTTGCAGAAGAGGAGGAGGAAAGATAAGATGGGGAGCTATGACTGTTGACTTCTGGGCATGACATGTCTGTTACATACTTCAATTCACAATGGTTGTAGTCCCCTGCATCAGACTTGTACAAGATCAAGTCTGTAAAACTTCTAGCATGCATCATGGAAGGGCTCTGGTGTACCACCCCTAGCTAAAGAGCTATTGGCAGTTGACAGCTGCTGTAGGAGGAAGAGTTATGCTATAGAGAAGACATGGCTTTAGTAGGTTGCTCATGTCCCAGTGGATAGCCATGTGCTTAAGGCAACACTAACTGACTTAGGAGATTGTTGATAACAGTAAAAGGTAGGAGCTGCCTTGATTATTGATTGATGAGGGAAGACCCACTCTGAGTGATGGATTATAACATGGGATTGAAAGATGGATAAATACTTTCATCCCTTATGTTAAAAAGAACACAAACCAAAATAAACAAAAATTGGAGTGATGGTAGGTCTATTGGCATCTAGCCTGTAGGGCCCAGAAATGCTCCTAATCGCCTTACAATGCACAGCACAGAGCATAGACTTTTAGGTCCTATATGTCAATAGAACTAAGACTGAAAAGCATTGATCAGGATGTTCTTCTGGGAAGGAGGGGTGGTATACTACAGAAAATATCTCTCACAGTTGGGTGACTCTGGTCCAATTCTGATGGTTTACTCATTGCAGCTTTGTTTCAGTCAACTCCAGGGAACCTGGGAGCTCCCTGTCACTACAGCGAGACCTCCGGTTCTCTCCCTGTTCTAAATTGTTATGAATCCACGACTGTCCAGGTGGTCTTCTCCTCTCCTCTCAGAAATTTGTTTTCCATCTTGCTTATAGATCGTCTTGAGGGAGACATCATGTTATGCCTTTCCCTTAGAGGAGGCTTGACCCTGAAAATTATTTTCTGTTTTGAAGAAGGGGTTATATCTCTTTCTTTGGAGAAAGTACTGTCTCACATCTTTCTTTCCCTAAAAATTTAATAGTCTGAACTCAACCTTACAACCAAGACAGAAAGAGAAAAGACATGAAGTTAGAAATAAAATCTAAATTAAGGTTGCAGAATCCAACTCTCCAATCTGTGATGCTATGTGAAATGCCTTGACTTTATCACCCAGTGATGTTGAGAAAGGAGATGTCTATCAAACCATCTCATTAAAATAGTTTTAATACAAAATTATTGATTGGATTCTGTGGTCCAGACATGGGTTGTGTCTCAAAAGTATCTTGTTTAAGGAAGTACTGTATAAATATGAGACTCATTATTAAGTGTTCATGAAATCACATGCAAGGTGGGTAAGGAAATGCTAACGGATGGGCAAATTAGTCAGAGTGCAATTTACAAGGTCCTCTCATGTTCTCCTGGGGTCACTGCACACCGGGATACATGATCATTAAATATGACCCTCAGAGGCACTGTGTTGAGAGGAAGGGAAATTCCTCAATTTTTAAGACAAGATTTTAAACAAGGACCAAACCGTTTTATCTACTTGAATTTGGGTCACTAATTATATCCACTGATCTTCGAGTAATGAATCATAAATTGTACAACTCCAATGAAACCCTTCCTGTCCCTTTTCATCACGAAATGAGAGTTCCACTACTTCCACTTAGCCGTGGCAATTACATGTCTGCCAAAGAGAAAGACTAAGGGGAGAGGGTAATGATGGTGGCTTTTCAGGGACACTGAAATTAGGGTCTCTGATGTACTGATGTTGTGCATCTTTAGTCCATTTTGTCTTACTCTCTGATCATATTTTCTCATTTATAAAGAGTTATCATGGTATCTTAGGTAGCTTTCCAAGTCATTCCCAACTCTCAAATTCCAGGATTCTAAGTAAAATTGTATTTGTGACACTGAAGAAAATGCACCACTAAAATGATCAAACTCTAAATTTTTTTCAAGGATAGATTATACTTTCACATAGCCCCCAAATAAGCTGATGTCTTTGAATTCCATTTGGTATGTGGTCATAATAAAGCATGTTTAAATAATAACATAGAGGATTTTGGATAGTGATGAAAGATGTCTTCATACACCTTTCACAGACCTTTATATCCTTCATCCAAAAAATTTAAAGTCTTAAATGAGTCAAAGTCTGAAGATCTCTAGACAACAACATGATGTGGCATATGGAAAATTTCTGACCTCACTTGATGGGTCACAGTCAGAATGTTGGAGTGGTACCCATGCTGTGTAGTGTCATCTATGGACTACATAGATAAGGTATA